GAAACGCGTGCGAGCGAGCAGCTCAATGAAGCCGCGAGAGAGCTGGTCGACCAGGCGAGCTGCGGTGCGAGCAGACGAACGCGACGCTCGGAGCTGCGTGCGATGCGAAGGAGGCGACCCCGTCGGTGGCTGGATCGGATGTGGGCAGTACGTGTCGAAATGGTCGGTCGATCAATGGTGGCGATAGGATGAACGCGCTCGCGTTGCGTGTGGCAGCGTGCGTAGGTGGTGCGTTTGGTGTTTGTGTTTGTTTGTTGTTGGCCTTGATTGTGTGTTTGTTGGTGGCGATGGTGTTCAGCCTTCCCATATAGTCTAGGCGGTTAGGATAGCTGGCTCTCACCCAGCAGACCCGGGTTCGAGTCCCGGTGTGGGAACATCTTTTGCTCTTCTTTGCTGCTTCTCCACTCTTCTTTTCGCCGCTTTGGGCGTTCGTCACAGTCTCGGTGCCGTGCTGACCCGCTGCTACATCCCATCCACGGATCCAACCATGCTCGCACGACCAGGAGGTACTCGAGTCTGTCCGGCCATTGGTCGGCGCGTGCAGGTCTACTTGTCGGCGCTGGCCACCGTGCGGAAACGCGTGCGAGCGAGCAGCTCAATGAAGCCGCGAGAGAGCTGGTCGACCAGGCGAGCTGCGGTGCGAGCAGACGAACGCGACGCTCGGAGCTGCGTGCGATGCGAAGGAGGCGACCCCGTCGGTGGCTGGATCGGATGTGGGCAGTACGTGTCGAAATGGTCGGTCGATCAATGGTGGCGATAGGATGAACGCGCTCGCGTTGCGTGTGGCAGCGTGCGTAGGTGGTGCGTTTGGTGTTTGTGTTTGTTTGTTGTTGGCCTTGATTGTGTGTTTGTTGGTGGCGATGGTGTTCAGCCTTCCCATATAGTCTAGGCGGTTAGGATAGCTGGCTCTCACCCAGCAGACCCGGGTTCGAGTCCCGGTGTGGGAACATCTTTTGCTCTTCTTTGCTGCTTCTCCACTCTTCTTTTCGCCGCTTTGGGCGTTCGTCACAGTCTCGGTGCCGTGCTGACCCGCTGCTACATCCCATCCACGGATCCAACCATGCTCGCACGACCAGGAGGTACTCGAGTCTGTCCGGCCATTGGTCGGCGCGTGCAGGTCTACTTGTCGGCGCTGGCCACCGTGCGGAAACGCGTGCGAGCGAGCAGCTCAATGAAGCCGCGAGAGAGCTGGTCGACCAGGCGAGCTGCGGTGCGAGCAGACGAACGCGACGCTCGGAGCTGCGTGCGATGCGAAGGAGGCGACCCCGTCGGTGGCTGGATCGGATGTGGGCAGTACGTGTCGAAATGGTCGGTCGATCAATGGTGGCGATAGGATGAACGCGCTCGCGTTGCGTGTGGCAGCGTGCGTAGGTGGTGCGTTTGGTGTTTGTGTTTGTTTGTTGTTGGCCTTGATTGTGTGTTTGTTGGTGGCGATGGTGTTCAGCCTTCCCATATAGTCTAGGCGGTTAGGATAGCTGGCTCTCACCCAGCAGACCCGGGTTCGAGTCCCGGTGTGGGAACATCTTTTGCTCTTCTTTGCTGCTTCTCCACTCTTGTTTTCGCCGCTTTGGGCGTTCGTCACAGTCTCGGTGCCGTGCTGACCCGCTGCTACATCCCATCCACGGATCCAACCATGCTCGCACGACCAGGAGGTACTCGAGTCTGTCCGGCCATTGGTCGGCGCGTGCAGGCCTACTTGTCGGCGCTGGCCACCGTGCGGAAACGCGTGCGAGCGAGCAGCTCAATGAAGCCGCGAGAGAGCTGGTCGACCAGGCGAGCTGCGGTGCGAGCAGACGAACGCGACGCTCGGAGCTGCGTGCGATGCGAAGGAGGCGACCCCGTCGGTGGCTGGATCGGATGTGGGCAGTACGTGTCGAAATGGTCGGTCGATCAATGGTGGCGATAGGATGAACGCGCTCGCGTTGCGTGTGGCAGCGTGCGTGGGTGGTGCGTTTGGTGTTTGTGTTTGTGTTTGTTTGTTGTTGGCCTTGATTGTGTATTTGTTGGTGGCGATGGTGTTCAGCCTTCCCATATAGTCTAGGCGGTTAGGATAGCTGGCTCTCACCCAGCAGACCCGGGTTCGAGTCCCGGTGTGGGAACATCTTTTGCTCTTCTTTGCTGCTTCTCCACTCTTCTTTTCGCCGCTTTGGGCGTTCGTCACAGTCTCGGTGCCGTGCTGACCCGCTGCTACATCCCATCCACGGATCCAACCATGCTCGCACGACCAGGAGGTACTCGAGTCTGTCCGGCCATTGGTCGGCGCGTGCAGGCCTACTTGTCGGCGCTGGCGACCGTGCGGAAACGCGTGCGAGCAGCTCAATGAAGCCGCGAGAGAGCTGGTCGACCAGGCGAGCTGCGGTGCGAGCAGACGAACGCGACGCTCGGAGCTGCGTGCGATGCGAAGGAGGCGACCCCGTCGGTGGCTGGATCGGATGTGGGCAGTACGTGTCGAAATGGTCGGTCGATCAATGGTGGCGATAGGATGAACGCGCTCGCGTTGCGTGTGGCAGCGTGCGTAGGTGGTGCGTTTGGTGTTTGTGTTTGTGTTTGTGTTTGTTTGTTGTTGGTCTTGATTGTGTGTTTGTTGGTGGCGATGGTGTTCAGCCTTCCCATATAGTCTAGGCGGTTAGGATAGCTGGCTCTCACCCAGCAGACCCGGGTTCGAGTCCCGGTGTGGGAACATCTTTTGCTCTTCTTTGCTGCTTCTCCACTCTTCTTTTCGCCGCTTTGGGCGTTCGTCACAGTCTCGGTGCCGTGCTGACCCGCTGCTACATCCCATCCACGGATCCAACCATGCTCGCACGACCAGGAGGTACTCGAGTCTGTCCGGCCATTGGTCGGCGCGTACAGGCCTACTTGTCGGCGCTGGCCACCGTGCGGAAACGCGTGCGAGCGAGCAGCTCAATGAAGCCGCGAGAGAGCTGGTCGACCAGGCGAGCTGCGGTGCGAGCAG